TTAAAGTTGAAAGTATATCTTTATTAAAATTTAGTTAAGATGTAATGAATTTTTTATCTTAAAATGAGTTAACCTACATTTATGAATTCTTAGTTTTCATTTTTCTAGTGTGAAAAATATCAACAGGCATAGCCCTCAACAGCTAAAGCTCATTGGAACCTTCATTAAAAAGTTTTTTTGTGTGTTCATTGTTGGGACACACTATGCAGTTCAGGCTGGCCTCGAACTCACAGCAATCCTCCTGCCTCAGCATCCTGAGTATTGGGATTACAGGAGTGTGCCACTAAGCCCAGCTATTAATTTTTGAAAGTATATCTTCAGAATAAAAGAATCTACTAGCTTGGTGGGGGGGAGGGGGAGGAGATAATTAAAACAGAGGTGAGAAAATGGATCCAAAGTCTGAAAGCTACCTTGACTTGAGGGGAGTAGGGTCTTACAGCTAAGTGACAGTACAATTAAAGAGAAAAAGGCTAAGTCAGGTATTTTGAAAGAAGGAATGGTAAAGTTTGGTAACAATTTCAGTATGGGGTAAATGAGATGAAAAGTTTAAAAACTTGTGTAACATGTTTAATATTGTAGCCTAGAAATGAACAAATTAACAGAAGCAGCTGGTTCATTAATTGATGCTCCATTGTAAATACTAGTTTTGGACGTGGTGGGGGCTGTTGGTGATGGCTCAGGAGAAGGAACAGCCAGAAGGAAATCGGAAAGTGCTCATAATTATAAATCAAGGATGACAAGAGGTAAAGAAAGAGGCAGGTCCTGGATAGGCAGAGACTAAGATCAGGGGGAAGGGCTTACTGTCAAGTTCATGGCCTGTCTCATTGAACAGATTTGATTTGCAAGTGGTATCTTGGAAACTTCATATGAAGTCAATTGTTGAAGATCACATAGCTAAGGATGGCTGAAGCTGTCGATGATGCCCAGTACTCTTTATGGAATGATCTCATGTAACCTCAGGGATCCTCACAGTTTTAACAAAACTTATCTTTATGAAGAAGGAATGAGCCAGGTGCAGTGACATACATTTATAACCCCAGCACTCAAGGAGCCTGAGGCAGGAGGATTTCAAGTTCAAGCCTAGCCTGAGCAACATAGCAGCTTACCAAGGCCCTGCCTTAAAAGTAAAAATAAATTTTAAAAAGAACTGGGGGTTGTAGCTCAGTGCAAAGTCTTAGGTTCAATTCTGAGTACAGCCTTTCCCAGAGGAAAGATTAAATGGGAAATGAAGCCCTGAATAGAGGCCAAACTGGGGCCTTTATAACCAACAAAAGGAGCACATTTATTGAACCAAGTATGTAGCTCAGTGGTAGAACACTTTGCCTGCCATGCAGGAGACCCTGGGATTAATCCCAGCATACCCACTACCCACCACATACATAAACACGTGTGTCCACACACAAAAAGCAAATTTGCCATCATTGAATAATGAATCCATTAAAGTCTGTTTGGCCCATAGTATTTATAAATATCTGTGTTTTTAGGCAAGAGACATATAAACATATTTGAAAATACATATGAACTTGTAAAACCAGAAAATGAAATAAAAGTGAGAAAGTATGAGCTTGTAGTTTTAAAGCTGACAGAGACAGTAGCCAGCTTTTCTAACATCATGTGGTTTGTCAGGTGTTTCTCATGTATTACTTGAAGCCAGTGGGAAGTGGATACGGCTGCTTCACTGATGAGACTGAGGTTCAGTGTCTCACCAGCATGAGACTGGCCCACAAGTGCTTTAGCATGGAGAGCATCCTGTCTTCTGAGGTGGTGGGGAAGGGTGAGAGGAGGACTGGAAAGCACTGATTGTTTGAAGTTGTAATGGCAACAACTGGGAAGCCAGTCAATTTGAGTGGCTCTTTGGACTTTGTGGTCTGTAAGTGCAAAAGAGGCAGGAAGTGACTGGAGAATTTGCCTTTACCTTTATGCCTGACTGAGCCTTCTACCATGATGTGATACTGAGGATCCTGCAAATGTGTTATTGAGAGGAATATCACTTCCACTACTGCATTCTTAGGAAGTACAAGGCCACTTACTGTTGGCTCCAAACATAGCCATCACAAATCCCTTGGCTATTTAAATCTGTAAGATACAAAATGACAGGAAGTCTTTATCTCCAGTTGTATTATCTCTCAGATACTGGGTAAAGCACACCCTTTGTTGATGAATGATTTAATATTAACCACATGAGTGAGAATAGAATCTACATAGGGTAACCCAGTAAAATTTGGTTCAGAAGTTATTTTGGAGTAGTAATTCACACAAAGGAGATCAGCTAGTTGTTCAAAGCACAGTGCTTGGTGAACAACTATAAAAGTGTATTTCCATTTCAGTGGTTTGTACCAATCCATAGGATTTCCAGGCAACAGATCTCTCCCAGAAAGGTGCTACCACTCTTCCCTTAGAGGTCCTTGTGCCAGAATGGAAAGTTCGGTAACAGAAAGCTCTGCATTAGAAACACAGATGACTAGATGTAGACTTAGGAATTCAGACTAAATAGAACCTTTTAAGGAGAAGGTTACTAGAATGACATTTTTGAAAAGAGAGAATAATATAAAAAGACAGTTGAACTGGGTAGGGTGGTACAGACTGGTAATCCCTGCATTGGGGGGCTGAGGCAGGAGGATCAAGGCAAGCTTGAGGCCAGCCTGGGCTACACACTAAGTTCAAAGAGAGTCAGAACTACATAGCGAAATCCTGTCTCAAGACACCCTCCACCCAACATTTGGGTGTCTATCTTCAGCTCAGCCCTTAAACCTTAATCTGCTACTGACTCATCTAAAGAGGGATAATTTTCAATAGTTATTTTTAGGGCTTTTAAAAAAATGAAGACAGGTATATATCATGTGCAGGCACAGGGTTGAGGTGGCATCTTCTGGGGGTGGTGATGTCCCTCTCCTGCACTTGGAAACTCACAGCAGCCGGGAATTTCAGGCAAGTCCCAAGTGAGCTATAAGCTTTGGCCTTGTTTGATGTTGGGTACATTTTGAGGCAGCCAAGCTGTGCAGCTGTGCTTGCCTCCACAGCAGGTGCCAACTGGGAGTATTTTCTGGCCCTTTCCCCGTAGTGTTTCAGGTTGAACCAGAAGCTGGACTTTCTGGGGCACAGTCACAATTGGGTAGCAGTGTGGAGATTGTTTCGACAGGAAATGGAGGCGTGGAATACAGAAACTCCTGAGATCTGCTCCCTCACCCACTTCTTCCCCTTTTCCTCTACAACATGTGTTCTTCCCTGGAGTCCGCCTGCCTTCTAAGATAAGCAACTGCCCTGCCTGGGCTTTGGGGCAGGGGAGGGGCGAAGGGCAGAGGGAGGGAAACCTAGATCCTGTCCTGAGTGGTTCAGCCCTTGGGTGTGCCCTGTTGTGTTGATTTGGTTTGGTGCCTGCCTTTCTTTCCCAGGTGTCCATCTATTTGAGAATCTAACTGGTTTTTGAAGTCTCGGTTGGGAAGGGACCTTCTGGGGAGCAGCACTAGGGGTGTGGCCCATTTACCCTGGGGTGGCTTCCTAACTCTGTTGGCATAGGGCCACTGATCCTTCTGAGTGTAACTCAAATGATCCAACAACATCAGGCTCTCCTGACCCAGAATAATCAAGTTTCAATTACTTTACTACTGTAGTTTTCTAGAGGAACTAAAAATATCCAAGCTGGAAACAGTTCTTCCTTCTATCCCAACCGTGAGAGATTTTGAGAGCTCACAAGTGGTAGGTGCCTTTCTTTCCTGAAGATAACTGCTAGTCTGGTTTGCCTTGTAGCTGCCATTCTGGGTACATGACTTAGCAAAATTGATTATGTATATGAACGAAGATAATGCAGATGATCTTCGCCAAAGCTCTGCTTAATTTGAATGTGCAGTTCTTGTAAGAGGCAAAGCTAGCATTGAGCTTTGTTAATGGTACTTGGTGGTAACATCTTCTTTCCTTATTTTATTTTTTTAAGACCTCTCCCCTTTATCTGTAGATTTCCTTATCTAGGGCAACAAGGTTCATTTATGTACGAGTGTAGGTATCTAGATAGTTAACACAAATCAGTGATATTTTGGTTTGCATGTTAAGTTACAACTTTATTAATATAGTTTACTTTGTATATTGCATCTTGGTGATGCTGATTTAAATGTAACAAGGGTGTTTGAATGGTGTTTATAGTTTGTGAACCATAATTAAGTATCCTTTGGCTTTTGGGTAAAGGTTAGCCCCTAACTCAACATTTGAATCAACCCAATAATAAAATTCTCTTAAGTGCAAAGTACCAAATGACCAACCTTAGGGAGAACTCAAGAACGGACATACTTCCCAGCATACCTGTGGAGCATTCTGAGAATTCAGACTGGTTTTTCTTTGTTTCTATGCAGACAACAATGAATTACTAGTCCTGTCTCTGAAGACATGTTTCCCTGGGATTTAAAATAGAAAATCTTTGTTTCAGTGTAGGTTCTTAATGATTGGTGCTTGAATTGGAATCGTAGTTACTACTTTCTGTGCTGTGGAATAGGCATAGCAAGTTTTTCTCCAAAAATCCTCCTGCCCCTGTCTTGTTTACTGAGAATTTGGCTCTCTGTTTCATTCCAGCATCTAAATAGCTTGGGCCTCAGCCAGCATGCCACTTGGGTTTTGCGTTATATTGGGTTATTTTGGCTTCCTTTAGCATTGGTCACACTATACTCCTTAAGTGTAGGATGCTTTTCTAACCCAAAGGTGTATCTGAGGTACCCATTTTTCACATGACATGGGAATAGGAATTTTTATCAGATAAGGACATGGGGCTGTTCTGGTTCAGGTGAAATAGTTCACCTTTTGCAATTGGAGTTTCTCTGTTACTATTTTCTTAATCTGTCACAGTCTCTTAATTAGAATGTACTGCTAGAGGACAAAGCAGTATTGTCAAAGTTGGTACATTTTATAAAAAAAACACAAAAGCGCCAGACAAGCAGCTGTAGTGCGAATTCATCCAGATGCAATGCTGAAATTCCCCAGAGGGGCATCTTTATTGTTTTCTTTCTTTGTTCCAGAAGCAAAGGCCGATAATGAACCGAGCTGTTCGCCGGCAGCTCAAGAACTGTTGACAAGGCTGGGATTTTTACTGGGAGAAGGGATCCCAAGTGCCACACACATAACCATTGAAGACAAAAATGAAACCATGGTAATGCCCAAGGAAGACACTGAATTTCCTATCTGCTCAGAGGATGAATGAAGCAATAACCGATTTTTCCCATTCCATGAAGAGGGAAGCCATTGTTAGGTCAAATGAGTTCTGGGCTGTTGTGTATTGAAATTTATTGCAACAGTTTGTTTCTAGATTTTTGCAGGGTGGGGTGGGAGTGGAAAAAGCAGAAGGGAGCAGAACTTAGGAAAATGTTCACATTAGTCACTTCCTAGAGAAGAATAGCTACATTTATAAATGTGGCTAAAAAAATTCCTTCATAATGATTCCACTTTTATCTTTACAGTGCCATTCTTCCCATGCTTTGGTATGGTTGTTGAGACTTTGGAGGGTCAGTGGGGTGAGGAAAAGATTTATAGGGGATGGAGCTAAGACAAAATGAGATGAGATTGGATGGTTCATCTCTGGGGAAGGCAGTCCCCCACACAAGGGAGCAGCAGCCCGCAGCATCACTTTGGAGATGTGTGCATTCGAATAGCAATGAGGGCTAGAACTTCAGCCTCCTGGGAGGGTCCTGAGGCGGGCTGCGGGGGAGGTGTTGTGGGTTGATTGAGACTGCAGTGGTCACCAGCCTCCTTTCCTGGTCACAGAGCCCATAAATCTTCAGGAATTGAATCAGGCTGCTGTGTTCATGAAACACTGCAAAAACAGAGTCCCTGGGTTTTTTGTACAGAGGTCAAATAACCCATTTGTCTTTTGCAGACTTTAAATGAGAGGAAGTCTGCCTGTTTGCCATTTCTGTTTTACAAATGTGCATTCCCAGTAAATTATTGCTAAGATTGCCCTCTTAGCGAAAAAGAAAATCACAAAGGAGGGGAACTGAACACAGACGCTTTTCTTTTTAACATTTGGAAGACCATAAGTATATTCATACATATCTATGCCTGTTTGTCTTCCCTAGTATTTAAAAAATTGTCTTCCATATTCCTGGTTTTTAATTTTTGTTATTTGAGAATCAAAAACAAAAGTGTGTGTTGAAGTACGTTGTGTAAGCCACGCTAACGCCTCCTTCCGTTCGTCTTGCAGTGCACAGCTCTGAGCCAAGGCATCAGTCCTTGCTCCACACTAACAAGCAGCACAGCATCTCCTAGCACCGATAGCCCCTGCTCAACCTTGAATAGCTGTGTCAGCAAGACGGCAGCCAACAAAAGTCCCTGTGAGACCATTAGCAGCCCTAGTTCCACCCTGGAAAGCAAGGACAGTGGAATTATAGGTAAGAAGCACATTGCTCGGTACTGTAATGGCTCGATGCACATCAACCAGAGCACTCACCAGGCACTTCTTAAGAGGATTTTAGCATTTTCTGTGAAGGTCGATCTGCCAGGGCCTGCCCTGTTCTTTCTTTTCAAGACAGCTCTGGGTCTGTGTGCGGCTAAGAACTGAAGCATCAGCTTTTACATTCCTTGATGTTTATTTTATTACATTAGGCTCATGTGGTTTTTTTTTTTTTTTAAATTCCAGATCAGATCTGGCCTGTGAAGTTACAAAATTCTTTTCCCCTGAGCAGTCAGTTCCACTTGTTGGGCATCGGGTCCCCCTAGGGCACATAGCAGGGCAATGAAATCTCTGAGTGTGAAGAAGTCTCTCAGCCTGGTCTCAAGGTCAGTTCCTTTCCCAGCAGCAGTTCAGGCCTGTGTTCTCTACTTCCTTATAATGGAATCTGGCCACTGCTTTGAGGCCAAGATGTTCTAAGGAAACATCTCTGGGTCCCCATTACAAAACTGGGTGTGATTTCTCTGATCTGAGGGTTAGGAGACACGGTTCCTAGGTGGCTTAAGCAATGTTTGATTCCTTTGCATACTTCTTTCCTTCTCTAGAAAAGTAGCATTTTGATTAATTTAGTAGTTATTAGATCCAGGGAGTTTAAGAGCCCTTAGTTTTGCATCCCATCCCAGACTGACATTTCTCCATGGGGGCTAAAGCATCTGTATGTCTCTGGGCTCCAGCATGTTGCCTTGCAGATAGGAGACCTGTTGGGCACCCTGGGGGGCATTGTTTAGGCCCCTTCTGCTTTAAAATTATGTTTCAATTTCACAGTGGAGCTCTTCTGAACAATTAATACCTCCCCCTTGCTGAGCTGTGCACTTCTTTGAGGGGTATTGGTGTTTTGTTGTGGACTGAACTCTCTTTCCATGTTAATGTGTAACCAAATGGGAGACATTTATGTTCCGTATTTTTGTAGAGCCATGTGCAGTTTCTTTCCGGTGTGATTTGAAAGCCCAGGCCCATCTTATTTGGATACTGAAAATGACACCAGAGCACCAGCTGACCCTATAAATTCTTTTAATATCTGTGTTTTAAGCTCTGCCTTCATAATAAAGTAGTGACCTTTCATGTCACTGAAACTGCCCTCTGTTCCTTGGTTCAAGCCAACATGTTGCTTTAACTCAGGTGCATATGGAAAGTTGTGCAAATTGCAATGAAAGTGGAAGACATGAAGGAGAATTGGCAAGTCCCACTTTCATGGAAGTATCTGACTCTTGGTGATCATGCTTGCCACTGCATTAGCGGTTTTTGTTTTGTTTTGTTTTGTTTTTTAAGTGACAGTGTCTGTGGGGAAATGAGGAAGGCATTGTACTGGTGACAATGTGCCTGTGTTTTCTATCTTCCATGACCTACAGAATTAGAACTTGTTGCCAAGGGAAACATTGGAGGTATGGTAGGGAGGAGAAGGAAGAGGAGCAAGAATTTCCTTTCCAGGAAGACATCAGACACAGATCTTTGAAGAGGCAGGAGTGGTGAAGGGAAAGAGCTCCCACCGCAGTCTGTGTGGGGCGGCCAGTTTCGTTGCCTCTTAACAGTGCTGCACCTGTGATGCACTTGTGGTTCTGTGACTGATTGCTGGGACTGGGCTATGCCTTTTGCTGTCTGAGGAATGTGCTGATGTTAGAAGTATAGCCTGAGATGGCAGCTTTTGGGCATCTTCAATCTTTAACAGAGCAGAATATTTAAGAGCACTGCAATCCTAGCAGGCAGAGGTGAAGGTGAGCTACTTTGGCCTCTTGCTTCAGAAGGCTTGGCAGCAGCTTGTAAAATGGGCTGGTGAGGATCCATGTTTCAAATTACACAAGACCACGAAAAGAGAGGAAGCAGCTTTTCATTTAATTTTCCATTTTAAGTAGTTTAAGACTTGTCGGCCAATGCAGCAGGGGCAGAATGGCAAGGGCCTTGGCGGGTGGGCAGTACAGAGCGCAGAGAGCTGCCCTGGCATAACATGTATGGCATAGCACTAGGCTCAGACCACTGTTCGTTTGCATGATCATCTCTGTTTATTCAGGGCATTTAGGGAACATTTCAAATAATACTAACCCATCCTTAAACATTCCTCAGCCTCTCCTTAGTATTTGAGCTGGTTTTCAACATTCTGAATATTTTTGTCTGGCAGATGCAGGGATGGGAAACCCATGCTCCCACATGCCCGGGTAACCTTCTCAGCACCACTACAGGTGCCCTGCCTGTCTTCTCTTTCCACAGCTGAGCAGCAGAAAGGACAGCCAGTGACGACTGTCTCTCCAAGGCCAGGGCTTAATAGAATTCTCCATCCTTTTTTCAGCGTTTATTATGCTATCCAAAAAGGAGTCACACTTCATCCTATTTCAAGAGTTTCACGTTCTTCCAGCATAAATAGCTTCAGAAGTATATATGTATAAATACTGTCTAAAATGGATGGGATTAACTGAATTCCCTATGAGTTTCCTTATTTTTAAGCAAAGTTTCTTGTTTCTTATATATTAAAATCATGCACCTTATCTAGTTCACGTCTGATTTTCAAATTTGCAATGTGAAAATTCTTCCAAATGTGAAATCCAAATGTACCTAATCACTGTAAGAGTTTATAATTAACTTGTTTTAAAAAGAAAAACTTTAAAAGGAATATGCTTTTATTCATTGGAATGTAGATGAAAAATAATCTGACTTTCAAAAAAACTATTGCTGAAAATAATAGGCTTTAAAGCACTTTTTGACTTAAACATGTTGAATTTTTTTTAGGCCCACATGATAAATATTTTATGTATACATATTTGGAGAAAATGAGCTATTTCTCCATGTAGGAAGAAAGAATAGAAACTGGATGAAAGAGAAACAAGCAAAACCTGCTTTCCTGCTCAGATGTATATTTAAAAAAAATAAAAAATCCTTCCTATCCATTAATAATAAATGTGCCAAGAAGTACTTAGAGGTAGCAATTAGAAACATTCTGGCTGAGGGCAAGTCCTGTTAAAAGATAGTCATTCCTTCCATTCCCTTCTTTTGCCTACTTTGACCTGTTGAAATTCATAATTGCCAAAGTACTTTTGCAGCATCCTATATCTGTTTCCCCTTGACAGATGAGGTTAGGAGAGCTCATGAGAGTAGGAGCACTGTGTGTTTCCCCACAAAGCAAGTGTGTCTTCTACCTGGCATCTGAGCTGAAACGCCTGTGCCACCACATTCACCATTGAGGTGGTTTCCAGGATGGTGGACTGTTCAGTTTTGCTCTTCCTTTCCTTGTGGTGCTTACATTTCCTGTTGGGTTTGAAGCAGGAGGCAGGCATAAATGCAAGGGAATACCTTTGCAGGAACATTTCTCTTGCAAGAGAGGCTTGCAGTAAAATGCTGGACTTAAGGTTAGTACCCTGCTGATGCTTGCTAGAGTGTGATAATATTTGTTTTTCTGCCCTGTTGCTTAGGGATTTTTTTTTTTTTAAGTTAGCAAGGATTGACTTTTATCTTGCCTTGCCTCTTTCTTGCCTTCTCCAAGGTTCATAAAATAAAAGTGATTCTAGAAGTAGCTTTAGACCATTTATTTCCTGGACTTCATGTTCCCAGGAAGATGATCAAATGGAGAGGCACACAGAGATGAATTAATTGTACCTTCCTTTTATTTTTAACTTGTTATAAATTCTGTCCTTTTGATTTTATGCTAATGCTGCTTTGTTGCCACCTGTATCACCCTGCTCACTAAATTGAAATGCTTTGAAATTGATTTGGTAATAACTATTTAGAGTGTTTCAAATCTGGGTTAATATTCATTTTGCTACATTACCTGCAATTTAAAAAAATCATCCCTAATTATAGAAGCCTTTTTTAAATCTCTGGGGTGAAAAAGGAAGATTTTTCTTTACATATCTAATTTGGTAATTTATTCAATCTGGGAAAGAAAACCTTGGTGATGGTTCCAGTCAGTAGAGTGCCTGCTACTAGACTCTTCAGACTGTTCTGTCATTGTACCAGGCACCTGTAGGTACCTACTGTGTTCCAGGAGCAAGATTGTTTAGTACTAGAAGAGATCAGATAATGCATAGTATCTGTTTCAAAAACTTGTCCACCAATGGGATGACAAACTGATCTGTCAATTTTTGAAAAGAGTTTAAAATGTGGCATTGATTGACATCTCTGATGGAAGGTGAATGCTGTAGGTACATAGCATATCAACCATTAAGTGCCTTGAACTCTTTTCTAGAGAGTCTGGAATTCCCAAGAGTCATTAGACCAAGAAGCTCCATCATGGATGCATTCAGTGGACAAACACGTAAAGCTTTATAAAAACATGGCTTGCTTTTGCTAGAAAACCCCAGATTCTAGCTGTGGCCTTTTTTCCTACTGTATTAGACCAAGTTGGGGCAGTGTCCTTGCTGAGAGACACAGATCTGACCTCCCACGCTGCCCTACCCCCAGCCGTTTCTTTAGGTGTTTCCACAGTCAAAGGGCCTGATGAATGTACCTGGCAACCACAACTGTGCCCCTGGCCTTGTTGCATGTTGTGGCAGAGCGCACCTTGCGCAATGCAGGCAGCACTGAGGTGGAGGTTTGGTACAGAAATCTGGCTGTCACGGTCCAGTGCACAGGACTCCCAGCATAACACCAGCAAGGACAGAGCTGGCTCAAAGTGCCAAGCTGTCATCTGGGGCTGTTGCAGAAGGCAAAGCCAGAGAGCCCCTGAAGCTGAAGGTGTCTGGGGCATCCCACCTGGGGCATTCTCTCTGGTATTCCGGGAGAGTTAGCTCGTGGGTTTTCCCGGGCCCCTCTCCTTGTTAGGTTGAAGAAGATTAACAGATGTGATTGCAGGTGAGCCAGCAACTGTTCTGTGTGTGGCTTGTTAGTTTGCAGTGGGGCAGGTCTGGGGTGGAGATGGTGAAGGAAACATATTCTAGCAGTAATGACCAGAAAGCTTAAGAGGCAGGCTGGTTTTGCCCAGGCAGCCTTTCCCTTTGTCACTTGGGGAAATCCAAA